ACTTCCTCCCTCGTATTGGGTGAAAACAGGCTAAGCTTTCTATCGTCTCATAATTACAATTTCGAGACTACCAGTAGATCTGTCATAAAAGCTGGATCCACACTATTTTGTTTAGGGGGACTGATGACAAGACGTAGGCCAGGTCGAACTTCAGTCCACCCTGAATGATACTAACTTTTGGGATGCAAGGCTATGTGCAATGCAATGGAAATGTAAAGCATATTCATATCATAATGGGTCGACCTTGTTGCGGCAACTTGGTCTTGTTGTCAGGGCCACTATGTAGAACGCACCTAGTCCGAAGTAGTCTGCCATAGTAGTTGTCATGATTCCCAGCATTTGAAAATGGACTTGATACTTTCTCAAATGTTTCGCCGGCATCGTAGTCAGCATCATCAGTGAGCTTTGCCATTCTCCAGAGGCCACAATATCTTGGTCTTCATATATTCATATTCATATCATTGTGGGAAAGTTGAGCTACCCGTCCTGCGTAACCTCAAACTAAATAGGTTGAATACAGCTCTTATCGCAGCTCCACAGGTAGTTTCGAAAACTTACTTATGCTACGAAAAATAGGTAGTGTAGTCGATTGGTATGGCAAATACAATTTTGTCTTGTCGGCAATCCCACCACATAAATGGGATGTGGGAAAGCCTAGGCTTCCTTGAAATTCACTTCTGCCCTGCGACCCAAAGTCCCTCGTGGAAAGGTGGCGTTGTGGTCGAGACTAAACCTTGCACTACCACAATCCGAGTCCTCCTGTGGGTGCTGATGAGACCTATGCGAGATCGAAACTGTATTGGGAGGCAAGGCTATGCAGTATTTAATGGAAACGTTAGGCCTACTCATATAATTGTGGGAAAATTCGACTATCAGTCCATCATCGCCATATACTAAATAGGGTGAATGCAGCTCTTATAGACCAAGCTTTCCTCCGCCACATAATGGACATCCTCAGAGCTTGAACTTGTTAACTTCAGACTTTTGCAGGAATGAGTCTAATGATGGCAAAGGAAATTTCTGGCTGCTTACACTCGAAACGTGAGAAGATATTTCCTGGATTCAGTACAATTGGAATCAGCCGTCGTCTTATGATCAGAATGACCCACGAATCCCTTCATCATTTACTTTTATACTTACTGAAAATCTTCACAACAATTGATCTCAGTAAATTCATCGAAACCCACTTTTTATTCGTTTGCTCTGTGGTTTACATTGGTCAAATGCTTACTTAAAATTTTGCCTGATTGCTATTGGTATGGCATAAGTTTTGCTTGAAGAGGCCAGTATAAGTTGGCTTCACCAGAATCCGAATGAGGTTTACCTTGGAGCCGTGACTCTGTATTTTTGCACACAGACTCGCGACCCAAATGAATCCTTGATGAGCTTTCGTCCGTCAATTGACGGACATCATCAGAGCAAGACACCATGCTCTAAGATAATTCGCCAAAGCACGTGCACAGAGCATTTATTCGTACAAATCTACAATCATAGCTCAAACGCAATCCTCCTTCGGATTTCGGTGAGGCCAACTCACGAATCCCTTCCACCCTCCCTTCAAACGCAACAAAAGGTATATCAGCACCAATCAATCCAGAGGAACTTCGAGAACTAACATTTTTTCATATGCTGAATTAATTCCGTTTCCATAAGTCCCCACTCCAAACTTTTAAGTTATGCATATTCCACACTTTCTCGTATATTTTGAGGAATACCCCGGTTTGTTACTCTTCATTATTTAATCCAATAATAGGGCATTTATATACTGGTCTCTGAACCAAGGAATATTACTGCCATCCTTATCTCTGAGCTAGTAACTATCTGGTTGTCAATGCCACTGGAGTTTGATGGGTGGGGGAGATTCTGTAGATAACCCACTTAAGCGCCCTGGCAATTCTCAGGAGCTAGAAACGAAATTCGCCTACTCGACATTTGTGATAAATACAGATGAGGCATTTATCTGCCAATATCGGCTAACTTTTCTGCTATTCCATGAGGAGAGCCAGACAGTATTTATGCCAATCCATTCATTCTTCTGCAAACCTAATTGCGGGTCGCAGCACGTGTGTTGCTGCAGCCAGAGACTAAGAGGTGATCGTGGGGAGTGCGACATCAAATGTAAGTTCCACAGACTCGGCCGGCTTCGTTCACATTCACAACACCTGTTTCGGAGTCTGCCCTACCGTCGTTCTGTCTGTTGGAAACGCTTCTGGAAAGAGGCCGCTTTTTAAGTCAGCTCACGCATCAGTGTCATACCGTTTTTCGTCTTACCTGCATCCACATCGTCCGACCCAAGCACAACACGCATGCCTACATATGTATATACAAGCATATTACACACACACACACACACACA